ATTTATGGGTTTGAAGATTAGAAAGGGTAGTTTATGGAAAGAAGGAAATTATGATGTAACCGTCGAGAGAGAGAGTTTAAAATATAAATGCATTTATAACCACTGCCAAGAAGACTGGAAGCTGCTTCTTTATAATCTTTTTCTTTTCTATTTCTTTTTTTATTTTCTTTCTTACTTATTCACTATTCTTCCTTATTTTCTTTGTTTTTTTCTAATATTTATATTGTTTTTATTTTGTTAAAAATTTCTTCAGTAAAATTATATTTTAAAAAAAGAGCATTATACTTCAGGAGGCATCTTTAAATTGCATTTGCTGTATTTGCAGCCACACCACATGGCCAACTTATTATTCCCAGATTTTTTCACAAGTACTGTACTATTACTAAACCAACTATCCTTCATCTTATATTTGGTATTTGAATTTGTTTCCTAAATGAAGGCTTTGCACTTCTGTTACCTAATTCTCCAATCAATATAATTTTGAATTTTATATCTATAGGGTTTGACATACAAGGGAGGGAGAGAGAGAGAGAGAGAGAGAGAGAGAGAGAGATTTGATGAGGAAATATTCATGAGGACTGTTTGTGTACTATTTTTGAGCCTCCTATGTGTCTTATTGTTATGCCATGCAGTTCCTCTGTTGCTTGCTAATCAGCATGTCATGGGGTACTTTATCAAATGCTTTGCTGAAGTAAAGCTATACTTTCTACTGTCTACAGCAGTCCCACAATCTATTAATGAAATTATCCAAATCAAAAAAATAAGATAACATTAGTCTGGCCTCAGCCATGGAAACTCGTTGGTGACTTTGAGCTAGGTACTCTCTCAGCCAATCTCCCTTACAGGGCTATAAGAAAAAAAAACCTGGAAGAAAGAAATGCTATCTTGAGCTTCTGGAGGAAAGGTGTGATATAAATCTAATGAATGAATAAATAAATAAATGCCTCAATTATTTTCAGGATGCTCACAGATTGATCCCTTAATGATATATTATTAAATCTTCTTAGGTAGTGATGTTAGGCTGGTCTATAGTTTGTTGAATCTTCCTTTCTCTCTGCTTTTTGAAGGTAGGTTCAACAATAGTTCTCTAGTCATCTGGCACTTCAACAATTCTCCAGGATTTGTCAAAGAGAATACCTAAGGAGTGCAAACAGACAGATCATTAGCTAGTTCCTTCATACTGTGTTGAAGAGAAGAAGCCATAATTTATTTATTTATATGATTTATAGAGTTGCCCACCTTACAGCAGTGACTCTGGGTGGGGTTCAAAGATTAAAACCATTACAACAACATATAACTCATATAACCACTACAACAACATATAATCCATGACACCATAGTTAAAACAACAACCCCCAAAACAAAAAGTGACATCACCAGCAAAGCTTGCCTAACCACCTGGCCCAAATGCCGGGGGCAGGGGGCAGCCAGGTTTTCAGACCCTTAGGAAAAGATAACAGGGTTGGGGCCATCTGGATCTCTGAGGGTATGCAGTTTCACAGGACAGGCACAGCTATAAAGAAGTCATGACTCCAAGGTCCAACAACATGCCATTATTTGACAGAAGGGACTTGGGACATACCCTTCTGCTAAACTTGGCAGAAACAATGGAAGACAGGCAATCCCACAAATAGCATGGTCCAATGCTATGTAGGGCTTTGTATATGGTAACCAGCATCTTGAATTGGACCCAGATGTCTACTGAGAGCCAATGCAGCTCGTGGAGCAATGGTATCATATGAGCATATCAAAAGACACCAAAAACTGCTTGTGCTGCTGCATTCTGAATCATCTGCAGCTTCTGAATGCTCTTCAAGGGCAGCCCCATGTAGAGTGTGTTATAATAATTTAAGCTGATTAAGGCACAAGACACTGTGAGCAAGATCTCCCGGTCCAGGAATGGCCACAATTGGTGCATAAGATGAACCTGTACAAAACCCCTCCCAGCCACAGCTTCCACCTGCTCTTTGAGCAGGAGCTGTGACTCCAGTAGGACCCCTAAATTGTGTACTAGCTCTGACTGGGGAACTGCACCCCAAGGCAAAGTTAAAGATGGAAAATCTCCAGAGCCAATGGGCTGAGTCAAAGCCTGTTCTTCCCCATCCAGCCTCCACAGCCTCCAGGCACTGGGAAAAGACCCCAGCAGCATTGCTTGGTTGGCCTGGGCAGAGATGTACAGCTGGGTACAGATGGTATCAAAGGCCACTGAGAAATCAAGGAAGCAAAATGAATCCTGGCTGGCCAAAGGCCATCAACAAGCACAATCATTCTTGGTACTATGACCAGACATGAATCCTGACTGAAAGGGGTCCAGATAATCTACCAAATTTGATGGTAGAACACTTGCTTAAAGTTTAAGGTTCAATCTAGGCATCTGGTACAGCAGGAAAAACTGCATATAGGAATAGAGGGCTGCTGCTAATTATTGAAGACATTATTGGGTGAGGGAGTCTGGCTTTATATACAACAGCTTCCAATGTTCATGTTTATCCCTTTTTATTTAGTCATGAAAGCTAGGACTTCACTTTATGGGGAAATTCTCCCTTAGTGATAGAAGAACATCTGCTTTATGGATTGTGGAGGGTTCAGTCCTGGGCATTTCCAACATATCTCAAACACAGAACCCCTAGCTAGTTTGGTCAGTGACAAAGCATTGTGAGAAATGAAATCCGTCCAAATGATGAGGAGGGCGCCAGCTTGCTATTCTGAGGGGAGGTGAAAAAGGCTGTTTGAAGGCTGGGGAGCTTGTTACACAAGGGTGACAAAATTGGGTAAGGAGGACTAAAGTTCTAGCTCAATATATGGCAATTATAAGTCTTCCACGAAATCCGAAAAGGCATGCGAGGTTCTGCAAAATAAGTTTCCAACGGTTTCGATGATCAGCTTTT